TTTACCCAATTTTGTATAACATGCTGGGTTAACAGAAATCAAGCAAATTTATTAGATAAATTTGCTTGATTTCTGTTGACCCGGCATGTTATACAAAGTTGAGTTGATCTTCCAAAATTATTAATTTGATCAGATCATATTGGATAGGGTCAGATATTGTTTACTTAGTGTGATACAAAAATGTGATTTTCTTAAAATTAGTGATTTACCGATTTGTTGGATTTCTGTTGACTCACCCCTATATATCAATTCACTTAAGTATTAATAAAAGTTTGGAGTGAGTACTATATTTAGGATATTCTTTTAAATATTAAAATATATATATATGTTGTGCCTCAGATTAATGCTTGCGTTAGATGTCAACTTTTTGGCCCGCATTAACTGATCAATATTGATTAACTTAAATTAAGCCCAAATCCTTCCCAGATTCTTACCCTAACTCTAATCTAACTTAGGCCAGTTTTAATCTGACGCAAGAATTGATCTGAGACATGGCATATATATATAACTTGTCAAAACCAATATATATAGTAAACCAAATTTGTATTAGTTTGACAAGTTATTAGATTTGAAAAATAAAATTACTATATTTAATTAAAAAATAGTGGATTAATTTTTTATTAGTTTTAACAAGTTATTAGTTTTGACAATATTGGTTTTGACAGATTATACTGTATTTATAAAATAATTATTAATAATACTTATTTTTTTCTTTGTATATAATTTTAAAATATTCTATACTCTAAAAAAATAAAATGATTTGCTCAAATAATACTGTAGTAGCTTTAAAATCATCAGAAGCTTTAATTTAAAGATTTTTTTTTAATAAATTAAAATGGCTATAATGATATTCTTTAAATGCCAATAATTACAGTAACACATTAAATAAGTTTCTGCAAGATTTCTTATTTTATATTACCCATATAATTTACTACATCTCAACGAGGAAAGTTATAGTTTGGCAAAAACCATGGTTTGAACCAATTTTTTAAACCAGTTTAAGTTTTGGTTTATGAATTCAAACAAAGCTAGGGTTAGAGTTAGTTGCTATTTAAAAATATTTGTTATAGATAGTTAGGGTTAGAGTTAAGTAGTTGGTTAATTAGTAATAGATTAGTTATTCAAATATGTTTATGCTATAATTCTAAACTTGTTCTTATGCAATTATTTTTGAATAAGTAGTGTGATAGGTTATTTCAAATATGTTCATGTCTGAATTTGTTCTGTAATAATTGAGTAAAATAAATTTATAATAAATAAGTATATATTTATTATATAAAAATAATATAATTGATAATTATAGTTTATTACATAATAACTAATTTCGGTCACGTTATTAGGGTGCACCAAAAAATAAAATCTTTTTTATTATATTTGACCAGTATACGAATTAGAGTTGGAAATTATTAATACCAGATTATTATAGCATATATATAATTACTATATATACACGTATAATAATTTAAGTATTGCAAAATTAATTAATTGGTTTTCATAACCTGCCCAGGTCAAATTTTGGAAAAGTACAAAAAAATTTTCAAATGTTTTTATTATTTTTGGGAAATCTGAAAAATTTTTTGGCGGCCGAATCGATAAGTTATCCAGTCAGAATCAATAAGTTATTAATGTCGGCCGACATCAAAAACTTATCAATTTGGTCTGGAATTATATAAAAATATATTTAAAACATTATTAAAGTTATATAAAGCTTGTAATTATATAAAAGATAAATTATAAAACTTTCTTTAAAAAACTACCTTAACAATGATCTTAACAATAATATATTTACAAATATTTTTATCTTAAATATTGAAATTAGTAAACAAGTATTTATTATAGTCAATAATTCTAACTCAGCAACAAGATGATCTAGTTTCGAACTCAATCAATTTTAATAGTATCAATACTACCTTAAGTATTAATTCATTATCAAATTTCCATTAAGTCTTCCTCTTTAATCGATTTAAAATTATTAACTGATGAATTAAGTATCCATTTCACTAAAACCGGCACATCGTGACATAGTTGTAACGTCTGAGTTAAAACTGTATCAGTATTGCCCTTATCTTCCCAAAGTTGATTTTGGGAAATAACATAAAGTTGACAATCTCGCCAAATATTAATTTGCAGTAAGACGTCTGTCATAGTATCTGGTAATTGAAAAGATACAGATAATAAAAGAGGTGGATTTGTTGCTTGAACCTTAACTTTGACTTTTGTTGTATTAGAATTAACTTTTCGTAATAATGTTTTGTGCATAGAATAATAGTCAGGAAAGGTTTAATATAAAAAACGTAAGAAATAGGTAAACAAAGAATACGTATCGAACCTTCGAAAGTGGTGGCAGATGATTTTGAAGAAGTTTGTTGTGGACAATAAGTAGAAGAATTAAAACAGCTTTGAAACAGAGCATTATAAACAAGTTGTTGGCGTAATATCTAATAGATATAATACAAAAATATATAAAAGTGCTATCAATACATGTTAAAATCAAATTAGTGACATATGACCATAACAAACCTCAATATAACTAAAAATTTGAATAGGGTAAATGAAAGGAATACGCTCGATTTTTTTAGCATTTGTGTGTTTCATGTCTAGAGTATACATTTGAATATAGGGAGAATCTTCAAATTTCTATAAAAAAAAAAAGAAAAAAAAAACAGTATTATGCCATATGTAATACAATAAAAATATGTTCATAATCATATTAAAATGATGTATACTTTTTCCCAACTAATATCCATAGCTGATCCGCGAGTCATCTTAGCCGGCGGAACTATATCTGATATCTATCATCATGGTATAAGTAGCTTATTTTATAATAAAAAGAATGCGAGCTGAGGATACATACCAAAAGTTGTTCCAGAGACAAACTTTTAGGATCATCTGTCATGATCCTGCTCCCAAAAAATCCTGACATAACAATACAACTTAAGTTTTCTACATATACATTTGACCTAGTATATATTTAGGTCAATTAAACGAATTAAATTGTAATACCTGCCAAATCTTCAATTTCTTTGGCTACTGTGTCTGTAACGTATACTGGTGGAAAAAGCCATAAAACAAATTGTATATTTGCGGACGTTTGTGAACCATCCTTTGGCTGCTGCAAGAACTTCAGTGGTGTTGGAAGTAGTGGAAACGTAAGATCTTGGGGCATAAAGTCATAACTTATACATGCAAAAGTTTGATTAATAAGGCAAATTATGAACTATATAAAACAGATAGTATAAAGTCAATTACATAAATTACCTTTGTAACAACTCAAATTCGTTATCGTTTTCTTCGATTAAATAATGATTTCTTTCGATGGGTAAAAAAGTATTTCTTGATCGTGACTCTTCCATCATAACCCATAATTGATAGAATGAACTGAGACTCTCACAGCTATCACCTAAAGTCAAGTATTTGTATTTTACTCTATATAATCTATATAAATAGAAAAATTTACATTAACCGCTACCTTTCACAATAATATCCTTAACATTATTCCAATCTGTTTCACGAATGCGGTACTTAGGTGCCCAATAAGCAATTGAAGGACCAACTCGTTCCACGTGAAACAATGGAATTCCGTGCCCATCAGTTAATATTTTTTGGATATCTCCAGCCAAAGCAGAACTAACATCGACAATAAATTAAATAATAGGGAAAGAAGTAAGAATATCATTTAATTTACAAAATAATTACTAACTTTTATAAATTGTTAACATGAAACATACAATTCTTTCTCATATATTGACTTAATATCATTAGATATGCATTTTATACAGTGAAAACAGTCCACACTAAATATTTTAGATAACGTATCTAGTGTTGCCAGTGCTTGAAGATTTTTTTTGAACAATTTAAAATACCGGAAATTGCTTATATAATAATTAAATATCAGAATCAATATTGAAAATAAATACTATGTTAAAGGAATTTCATACCTCAATTGTAGTGTCAGCAAATTGTCAATCTTTACAGGTATTATGGACAAATGTCAATTGAAGATGGTGGTTATAAAAAATTGCTGTATTACAAATAATAAATAAACGCACGCGATTATCATCTTTGGGTGTGTGCGTGTAAGTAATTATGACTTGAACTATTTTATGCGTTGTCTCATCAAATTTGATCTCCAAAAAAAAATAATAATAATAATTTTATGAAATTAATATAACAAATAAAATGTCTTCAGAAAACAATTTGTAAGAGAATTTCATCTATTTGAGGGCAGTTGAAAAAAATTATTTACGTTCAATTTTAGATTAATTACTTACATCCATTACGAAAATAGATCCACTTATCGATAATGTAAGAGTGGAACCATGACTTCGTTCTGCGTCCCACACTTTAAGTCTAATATCGCTAAGTTAGAACTAGAAAATAGGTATGAAGATAAAATAATACACAGAAGACACACCCGAGTTGTTTACAAAAAGTACTTGTCTCTTGAATTACGAATTTAAACGTGTCCTGACTATCTTGACATATGTCTAAAGCTAACTCTTTGCAGATCTTGATATATTCTCGAACTTCTGAAACCGTATTGAGATTATTTGATTCTTCCTTATAATTAAAGAAGGTAAAAGCCTATACCGAATACATGAACGATTACATAATAAGAAATTTATTACCTTTAAAGTAAATTGATATTTTTTTAATAACGAATCAGATCCAATCAAATTGAGTTGTGATATATCTTGTATCGTTGTATTTCGAAAATTAGATATTGTCGAGCGTATCGAAGCAATCTTCTGCGAGAATTCTGTAGATAATCCAACTATATTAACAGGTCCAAGTGGATGAACAGCTAAAAAAAAGCCAAGTGAAGTCAGTTTACAAATAAAACTCGACCTAATAACATTGTAGGCAGTACCATTAGCAATTGGGGCAAATGCTTTAAGTCTGTCGTTAATGGTTCCCTGTCCCGTTAATGTGATGCCCCATTGTTCCTGTGCATTTTTAATTAAATTCTGTAATTCACGAAGCAAAGTATGAATTCTTTTCGGATCCGCCTCTGTCATTTGATTTGCCCGACAGAAAAATTTTATTCTTTAATTTATCTGTTATATTAAGTTCAAATCACCAGTCGACCAAAAATTTATTGATCAAACTGGTCTGGTCAAGCTTGACCATTGATTAAGTTATCGTTATATAGATTGAGATGGTTTATCATTATAGGCTGACACATGATTGGCTGATGTTAGTGCTAATATTTTACATCAAACTTTATGGTTTTTTTAAAAATTTCGGAAAATTCACTTTTTATAAATTAACACACCTTCTATCTAAGCACATCGTCTTTATAAGCACATTTATTTTTTGAACTACTTACTATTAAACATATAAAAATTACTCTCTATATAAGCTTATTTTATAAGAATGCTTTTTATATATAGGTTCTAATAGTGTGATTATATGGGAGTGTGACTGTATTTTTTATTTGTTAAACAAATTATTTTTTTATTTATTAAACAGTTTATTAGCTTTAATTTTTTTAAATATTTTTTTTTTATTATTATATTTATAATTTTTTTTTATTCTTTTATTTTTTATTTTTTATTTTTTTTATAT